TTTTATAAAGAATAGATAGACATTTGTAATGTTCCCAAATACAGTGGTGATACAATGGTAAGGTAAGCAGTGAAAATTTCTGATACATTTTTAAGTAAAATGAGAGAGAGAGAATTACCTTTAAAATTGCATTAATGAAAAGTCATCCCTTTAAAATAGATGATAGAGTTATTTTTATGCAAGTACAGATTTTTGATGCCAAGACAATAAAGAAAAAACCACAGTTTATTCCGTTAAACTTGTATCATATTGTCAGCATTTGCCCATATGGAAAACACATAAATTGTCATGAAAACATGAAAATGGGACAAATTAGTAATGTTTTGAGTAGGCTTTATAAATATCATATGTATTTTTAAATACATAAGTGATGCAGTTTTGAACACAAAAGAGCCACAGTTGTGGCAGCCAGATTTTGCTGTGTTCCCAGAGCAGCAAAATTAGCAGAGCTGCAAATGTAGTTATTCAAAAGTTGAAAATTTGGAATAAGTCAGAAGAAGTATTAAGAGATTTGGTGGGAAACCAATAAAAGCTAAAAGTGGCACAAATACACATTCTTTTTTCTCACCAGAGGTCAGAATTTGTGTGTGTACTTTTAGATTTAACTGAGCTTTTTTCTTTTTTATGAAGGCTCAATCATTAAGCTTGACAACTTGGTGTCTGGGGCATATTTTCACTTCGTGGGTGGCTGAAGTTGTGGTATTGTTGGGCAAAGGGTAGAAATGTGAGCAGCTCTGTGACCTTTCACTGTGTTATGAGCTTCTGTGGGTCTGGAAAGTACTAAGGCTGGGTCCACGGGTTTATTCTTAACCTGCTGTTAAATATACCAGCTGTACAGAATGTCAGAGCTCAATAGGTATGAATGGAAAAATGAAGCTCTGCATTAGCTGAGAATCTGGCTCATTATGCAGAGAGGAGGAATAAAAAGCATCTTTGTGGATTTTTTCCCCTTACTTTGTTCCACTACATGTCTTCCCTGTAGGTTTTGTGTTGAATTTGTGATGGCCTCAATTTCAGAAAAAATAACTCTGAGCACTGTTGAGTATTATGATGTGTGTATTTCAGTAATTGATGCAGGCCAGAGAATAGTTGGTGTTTAGCAAGTGTTATTTTGGGATCCACTGTGCCTGGGATTCCTTCACATGCTAATCATTCAGTAGCTTTCTGCCCAAATCCTTTCTGACTTGATTCGCTGTTTGTAGAGTCAATAGCATTCCTTTCTTTCCCACCTTGTGAAAGCCCTTCCTTATGGAGTTTAAAGTCTCCAGAGCACATCACACATGCCCAGCTAAGGTCTTGTAGTAATACTCCAGTGCACCTCCTAATGTATTAAATTGTCGTTCACTGGTGTTCTGGGTCTTGAAAACAATGTCACCTGATTGTACTGGCTTAGCCCGTGAGTCTCCTGAGGCACCATCTGAATGAGAATAGCTCTCATCTCTTCTCCACAAAGGCCAGCTGGTGTGCAAACCCCACCTTTTTGTCTCTCCCTGCAGATTTGTGACCTACCAAATGGGGGTATTCCATCACTGGGGAAGCTGTGCTTCCAGCCATGGTTTTTTTACTGTTTTTCCCCTGGTGATGTGAGACTCTGCTTCTAAAGCTGAAAAAAATCTAACTCAGAATGCCAGTGCTTTTAAAGAATATTGCAAGAGAATACTATGTTGGAACCTCCTGAGAGGGAGGAAAGAGAACATGCAATTAAAAAATAGTAATTCTTCTTGTTAGTGACATGACAATAATAATGTCCATCTTTTAAAAAATTCCAAGGAAGTCCCACTGATTCATATTTATATAGAAACTGACACTGGAATGTTTATTTCATAGCTAGTGGCTAAAGGATAAGATAAAATTCTGGTGCTGTATTTATATTCTGTTTTGCAGACATATCTAATCTTCAGTGGCATGAGAAATGTTGTAGAAAAGTATGTCATCAAAAATTGCTTCAGCATCACACTTAAAAATCTGTCCTCTGGAAAACAGGTCAGCTTTCACTGTAGCTTATGGTAATACACGCAGACACTACAGAGTATTTTATATCTTATAATGGAGATAGTATAGATAATAATATACTTTCATCTATTACTTTTATCAGATCATCTTATCTCCTTTGTGGCATCAAAAGCATGTATTCAGAGAAGACTGAGACAGAAGTGTCTGCTTTATTTAATACGCACATGAAGGGCCTGATTCTGTTTACACAGAAATCAGTGGAAATTTCTGTCCTTGATGGGAGCAGAAGCAACTGTCTGAAATCTACTCACAGTATTTCATTAGTGTTCTTCATGGTATGCACATGGGGAATGGAGACTGACCTCTCAAATAATGAAAATATTATTGTAATTGAAAAGATATTAGTGCTGTAACTTTGTTGTCAATTAACAAACCTGTCAGTTCTGTTCTGTCGGGGTGTGTGCGTGACCTCTCAGTGTTATGGTATCCAAGTTCTGGCAGCAAAAAGAATTCAAAGCAGCATGCATATACATTCTCTTTGTCTTCCAAGTAATTTTTCAGGGTTTCCACAAATGATTGTCTTGTTGGAGAAGTGATAGTGCAGGGCATTAATTATTGTCACTTTCTCCTGTTTTTCAGTTGTCTTGAGTGTGGATTAGAAGTTTTTGCTTTGTTGTAGAATTATTTGGAATACGATGCTGTCTATGTTTCCTGCAATTGTCCCAATTCACCATATAATACGGATTTTTCAGTCAATGGTGTGTTAAAGTTTTTTAAAAGTATTTTTTTTATGTTTTGAGGAACTTCAGAAAAAAGCCTAAAGTTTTAGAGTATCTGTGAATCAAGTCTTTGGCAATGCAATGGACAATAACCTTCTGCATTTGGTTTAAGAGGAAAAATATGAGTAATTTCATAATGTTTTCATTCATCCAACAGCTTCTTTTGACTTTACTGTAGCAGTAATAGGCTAAAATAACTGGGTTTTTTTGTGGGGTCTTTATTAAGGAATAATTTTTTCCCTGCTGACCATATTATTGCATATTTTAGTTCCTCCTGGGGAAGAGTGCATCTGAGAGAATTCAATTGATCCCAATTGTTTGTCCTTCTGCATCTCCCAAGGAGGTTGAAAACCAGCTATAAGTGACAGCGTGAGATCTTTTTTATGCTTCCTGAATAACTGCTAAACTGTAAAAGTCAAAAGTTAAATAGGCAGTATAACTCTCAACCCAGTATTCCTAGGCACTTGTGAGATCAGACCAGTAGAGAGTCACTTTTTTAGAGAGGTTTTAGAACTTCAGCTCACATACGCATCACTCAATTTCTTTGATTTCCTGAAACTGTAAATTGAAAATTCAGTCACATTAGTAGGCTTGTGAATCCACCCTTCTTGTTGTATATAGAATTATTTTTATTCACCAGAACCAGGCAGGATAAGAAACTGAAAAAAATCTTCTATAAAATAGTTGAAATTTTAATTAAATGAATAAATCTATTGATCTCATTAAAGGAGTTAGTATTTTGTTTTATCACACTTTTGTTTGTCTTTAACGTTTTTAAAGATGTCATATTGTTCAGGAGCACAATTACAGGACTTTTCTTTTTGGAGACACTAAAAAAGATTCTGATTTTTAAAATAGCAACAGTTTAGAAAATGCTTTTCGAATTCAAGATCCAATTAGATGTTTTTAAACCTTTGGTGAGATTTCTTTACTTTCATTGATGGGGTATGGAGAAAATGTTTTCCTTGTTTTAGATTGCTTTAAGAGGCAGAAGGCATCTGTGGTGAGTCATGGACGAGTTTAGCTGCGATACATTACTAAAATGCATTTTGGCAGCAAATGGAGGAGTAACTACTCAGTCTGTTGTGAAACAAGAGAGTCTTTCAACCCATTTTTCAAAGCGCTCACAGTTCTCATTTGAAGGCAAGTCAAACAATAAAAGTAGTGAGCAAAGAAAATTAATGTGTATCTGGAATACTTTAATTAAAAATAATAATTATAATGGACCCATGGTGCTCATGACCTCCTATTTTCTTCTTATTGTTGATTGATTCTGCTAAATTTTACTCTCAGCAAATTATGTTGCTGTTCTGTTACATTTCATATTTGATTACTGAGAGATAGTGAAGCAATTTAAATGGGACTTTTCGGAAAAAATTAGACTGTGGTTTTGAATTGAAACAGTATCCGTTAAAATAAAGAAAGTTGGTTTAGTACAGTGATTATTTATAATAAAAGATTTTGCAATAAAGATCTGAAGAAAGAATTAAGTACAAGAATTAAATAGTTGGAAGACTCTCTTGAAAGCATGAAGCAAATGGTAACTTCCAGGAAATTAAAATGCAGCCTTGGTAATGACAGAATTTAAACAGAGTGACTATGGGAAACAATGAAATTATTTCTCATAAAGTCTTTGCTTCTAACAGCAAGTTCTCTGTTTTAATCTTTATCCTGGAATGCTGAGTTTCTTCTGAGTGTGCTGTCAGTTCTACCACAAGAATCCTCTTTCTGTTAGTAGCATAAGCTGGTTGTGCACAAGCTGTTTCAGTCTGGAAGCCTGTTCTTCATGTTCTGCTAATAGAAATAAATGGCACATAGTTTTGTTACTTGATGCACAGCCTTTAGGACTGTGGCAAGCACATTTCTCTCTGTGCACCTCTATGAAAAATTCTGAGAGGGGGAGAAATGTGCTTGCCACATAGGACAGAACGGATCTTTTTTTCTAGGAGTCTGTAACTTTAGAACAAACTGTAATTTCACCCTAATTTGCAATGGTTCATGTAGTTCACACTACAGTCTGTAATGATTTAGATATTGTAGCAAGAAGAGGGGAATGACTGTTAAACTGTCTTTACCATGAAAACTGCAGATATTGAGGTGTATAAGAGTGACAGAGTTTGCCATCAGAGCAGTAGTCTTTAAAAGAGGATTTTGGTCCGATTGTCACATCTTACTGAAAACAAAAATAAAGCACTAGTTTATTTAAGAACACTATCTTTTGTTATGTGCTCAGTAAGACAAAGTGACTCAAAGCAAATCTGATCTAATTCTGAATCGTTTCCTCCAAAACTCGAGGAGTTTAAATTTTTGCATTTTTTCTAGCTTCTCCATGCAAGAAAAGGTTGAAGTTTGTTCAAGAGGATGAATATTGTCAGAAACTTAGTGAAAGTAAGTTTCAGCCCATACTGAAAAAATGCCTTGACATTTCTAAACTTTGTACTTGATTCTTGATACTGGACATCAATGGACTCGAGGCTGTGGCTAAATTTATACATGTTTTTAAAGGTATTGCTTGAAGTGGCATATGTCCAAAGATGTTTAGAATTTGAGCCTCATTTTCTTCATTCAGAGAGATGGCAGCAATATGCAGGAGTACTTACATGTCTTCAGGTGGCTCAATTATGGCGTAGAGTAAGAGTGGAAAATGAGCCAGTTTTGTATACTTGAGAAAAAAGGAAGGAAGAATCACAGGCTTCTGTGGGGAAAAGTTGTAGCTATGTAGTTCCACTGATCCATCTGTGAGCAAAATGTATCCACTTCCTCCAGAGGCTGACAAAATGGGAAGAACAAAAGCAATGCTACTCTACATTAGAACATAAGGTGACAGTGGATTCAGCTTCTGAAGAAGAGAGAAACAGAAAGCAGTTCTTAAACCACAGTAAGTATACAGAATGGAAAGTTTTCATGATTAGACATTGTTTATCCTAGATATTATTTTGTAGCTTTCAAATGTATGTTCCCTCATGAGAAACTCAATCTGTTCTCAATGTTATTTTCCAACTTCCTTGTTTCCTGACCAAAATAGACTTCATGGAGTATGACTGTCATATTTTTAATATGAGATCTATCTACAATTTGGTGGAAAGGACATGTACATAATAGTCACAGAATCAAACACACAAAATTAGAGAAATAGCTGTATCTGTCTTGCAGTTTCTCCTTTTATCTTGCCTGAAACAAAGGCAGTATGCCAATCATGTAATTGTGTTCAAATGTTGTAATAATTCAGACCACATAAGAAAAATGGCCCATCACATATGGAGAAAGAACATAGGAGAAGTGTTATTCTCTGATTATGTTTTTTTTTTTTTTTAATAAACTGTTAGAAGATAAAAGTTGTTAAGAAACTTTTATAGTTATTTAGAACTCAAAATAAACTTTAATTAATTTGATTTTTATAGACTAGTAGTCTTTAATCTCTATTGCAGAATCTGAAGTATACCTGTTACGTACTGGTAAATTAGTTGTCAATCCCTTGGGCAGTATATTTTAATATCAGTATTATATGCTAGATGATATAAATCTTGTATATGGTATTATTAGCTTAGGCAGCTGCTGACTTAAAAAGGCCAGTTTAACAAGTCACCACTGTATTATGTTTAATTAGGTACAGTTTATATAATGAGGTGTTCAGTTCTAATGGAAAGACATGCTGTGAGCAGCACATCTGCAGGAATAACTATTACAATCAGCATTGCAGAGACCCATGGAACTGCAAATTAGACTTACTTATCTAGAAATAAATTACATCCCAATGCCTTCATAAAGCTCATTAATTAATTCCACTGGCATAAAGGTCTTTTTCTTAATTTCATGTTCCATTAGCATAATAAACACAATTTGAGTTACAACAGTATGATCAGTTTAATGGATGCTATTTATTTTAGTTTTTTATTTAAAGTCCCGGTAACATAGAATTAACATCAATATGCTGTTTGGTCCTTTATTAAAAATTCCCATAGGATAACCAGCACAGATGTTCAATACAGCATCATATATTTGCTGCATTTTATGACTTTACTAATTGGCCATATGGAAAGGTGTTGCTTGGATTTATTTTTTTTTTTAATCTGATAAATTATATGGATTGTAATAGTTACAATTGGTTACTATGTGAAATTGGACAGGTTAATATACACTGCATGCTGGGAGCAAAACAACAGTAAGCAAAGTTTTTATGTATGTGGATTCATAGTGAATAGTAACAATGTACTTCCTGGTGTATTACAATCAGCTTCATTTACATGTAGTTCCTCACATAATTGTAATTCATTAATTTATGCAGACCCTGTCTCATCAGAATGAAATGCTGCCAGCTATTTGTTTAGTCACAGTTACCTTATAGACAACCTAGTTGTTCCATTCAGCTTTTCTTGAGTCCCCGTGTTAATGACAAACTACGCTGTTAGCAACATTTGTGCTAAGATGTTGTATGTTACCAGGACAAGGGGTTTCATTATTCTTCTAATACTGATTACTGGAGATGAAATCCATACCTGTGATTTTGTTAATTTGTTGTAGACTAGAAAAATGTCTTTAAAAATTTGATTTTACCTTATATTACCCATTTTATGCCAAAGCCTAACTGTAATATCACCAAGCTAATTTTGTCATCAGCTTGGTAGAAATGTTTTCTAAGGCTTGTCTCTTATATTGTTTTTGCATTTCCTGATCTTATTTCTCCTCTCTGCATTTAGTATCAGTGACTGTCTCTGCAAATATCTTCTCCTTCAGCCTTTAATGCAGCCTTTCAGCCCCCTTTGAAAGTTACAGAGTGGCTAGGTACTCATGCATCAGGTAAACCCATCATCTGATTTTTCACATAAAAACTGATTGCTGTCTTTTCACTGTAATTCACCTTTCTGTTTCTCCCATGCTTTCAAAAATCATCTGAACCTGAGTAATTTATTTTTACTAGTGTGATTTCCTTCTATTATATGACCTCAATTATGTTATCAGAAAGAGTTGCACCAGAGCAGATGAGGGCAGGTTGCCCTAATAGTGTGTATGTCTGTATGGGCATACACAAATGCAGGTATGTAGTTCTTAAGGATCACATGGAAGCATTTTGCTTTAAAAAATGCTCTGTAGCTCATTGTATTTTTTAATACCCCCAGCCCGGCACATGCTCATATCCTTGGGATTTCTGGTTTGAGCTTGTTTTTTTTTTTTTAACAATTCCTTCTCATATATTTAATGACTGGATTTTTTTTAGGCATTTAAACATGGATATAATCTTAAGAATGGAATTTTACCTTGAAATTTAGGTTTTTATTGTAATTGGAAATTGTCTAGGCACATGCAGAAAAAGAGCTAGCCTTTAGTATCATCCCTTGTGGGTGACTCTGAGTTGTAGGAAACACAACACAGTGTAGATTGCATAAAGCAGTGAAGTTGTATGATCAGGGTAATGTCTCTTTCTTTGTAAATTTTGTTTAGTGCAGATGTTCAAATGAAATTTTTAAAGTGAATCACTATTTTCTGATGTTTCAGTGTTATGGGTCCTAAGACACACATGTCAGCAAAAAATGATTTTACACTGAAGGACAATGCTAACATTATTACACAGCTGCATTGTCTGTGAATATAATAAAGTCTTTTTGTGCACTATATAGTTGCACCCTGTAAAGATAAAGGAGAGGTGACAATAGGGGATTGATTCTGTTCCACATTTAAGAAACAGTGACTTGAAAAGCTTGTGCATTTTCAAATTCTTACATAGATATTTGTTATATGGTTCAAGCTGGAAATACGTGTTACAGGTTTTGACAACATCAAAACCAATCTGGATAAATAGTGCCAAGTTGCGTCCTTTTCCATGTGATTGGTCTGGTTTTATGGGTACATGGACGATCATGTGCAGTCTTCTTTAGCAGGGTAAAATGAACACTGTTCCAATAAGCTAAACTTTGCTCAGGTGGCAGCAAACTGCTAGAGGAGATGGCCTGGATTTGGAACATTTGGAACAGAGGGAGAGGCAGATAGTATTTTTGGAAAACAGGGTATCAGAATTATTCAGGTGATGATAGCTCTTACTAGACTGCTATGAAGTGGGAGCGAAATAAGAAGTTGAGCAGTAAGAATCCATGAAGACTCTGCAGCTACCTATAGAGCTCTATGTTGATTCCTTTTTGCTTTCTATGCCTTGCTGTGAGAGCTTAAACTTACCTCTTGCATTAACCTGTGTTATTTGCTCGTGTTACAAGGGCAAACATATTCTTGAAAATTTTATCCTCAGGAAGAAGGTAAAACCACATTGCTTTACATCTGGTTGTAGAGACTTATTTCTATATTTTATTTGGATATCTGAATCTGTAATTCCAATTCACCTACAAAATTATATTCATAATGACAAGTAACTGGCATAGAAGATTCTGGAGAATCTTCTACCTGCCATTTCAGTTATTCCTCTGATCTCAGAGCACCTGAGGTATCAGCCTATATGAAGTTGAGCATTTTGATTTGTCTGGAAGTGCATTGGGCATCTGACAGCTTGGGGTTTTTTTTCCCTCAGCTGTGTTTTTTTCATAGACACCTCTATCCTATCTCCACTTCTACCACCAGCTTTGCACTTTGCAGCTGGACAGACAGTAGTTGGCTTTGTAGGGTTGAATGCCTGAAATGGCATGCAGCCATTTTTCTTTGATTTGTTGGATTCAGTTTAACAGAGAAGTCTTGGAATCAGAGAGAGCAGGTTTCTCATGTTGATACTTACTGATCTGATCTCTTACTCAGTTGTGTCCCAATGATGACTGAGTTTGCTTAAAATCTGAGTAGATGGAGAAAGGATAATACTCAGGGCATAAGTCCTAAGACACACATTAGAAGGAAATGAGTGTTTATAAAAGGGCAAAGCTATCTTTATACTACTACACTCCATATAACCCTCTGCAAGGAGGAGTTCTGATGGAGGGCTCAGAAAGAATAAGGAGAAAATTTAGCACAACACAAAGGTTTCTACAATATAGGCTTAGTCTTCTGAAATAAGGCATCTTTTGAATATTGCTTGCTGTCTGATGGAGAGAAATAAGTAGCAGAGAATCAAAATTAAATTGGTGTCTCACAGTGCCTGAGGCTTAGGATAGAACTTTGTGTCACAGAGGAATACAGAAAAGCATAGCTGCAAGTATAATTTCACAGACATGGCTGGTCCTGGGAAAGTTTGGCTAGGAAAGAGGCAAATTACTGTTAAGTTTCACCAGAATCTGATCAGACCAAATACAGTCAGAATAAAACAGAGTCAGAATAAAACACCTTTGCCACATAGACATAAATGCCTTCTGCATTCAAATAGAACTGTACTGTGTTGTCTGGTCAGTGAGGCTCTGACAAGAATATTTTTACAGAAGCTGAGAATTTCTCCAACCTCTCAACAATACCTAGAGACTTCTTATCTCACTAGTGTCCCAATAAAAAGAGATAGGAGATTTCTTATTTATTTAAAACAGTATGGTGAGTTAAAATGCTTTGTAGTGTAGCCTTAATATAGACATTGATTAGATGCCAGGTTGGTACAACTAAGTAAAATGCTAATACAGTCAGACATGTTTCTTAAAGCTGTCAGATGCATGTTATTTCCACAGGACGTTCCAGATGCTTTATTTGCATCTTGGTGATAAATATTAAGGGGCAGAAACATTTAAAAAGCTTGTAGCCCTACAGGTGTCACTTTTCAGAATAGAATCTATTTCCCCTAGCAGTGTATATCAGCGATTCTGTAAGTACGGTGGAAATGTATGTATTCCTTTCTGCTTAGGAGTGCTCTCTTGTAGTCTGTCTTTCGCTTGATCTCCAGGAGACAATATCAAGTACAATGCTCAGGCCTTATACTTCAGACCACAAACTGTAGGTTTCTGGTTGTTGCTTTTTTTCCTCAGTGCATGCTTAAAAAAGGTAGATAACTTTTAGGAAAAAATCAGAAATATGTAGAGAAACTGAACAGTAACATTAATGTTGAATCCACAAGCCTTGTAATCTGTTTCATTTGTTTAAGCAGCCACTTTTAATTATAATAGGTACTGTTGCACTCAGGTAAATATTAGTGGTACTTGAAATGAGCACCTAAGAAACAAAGGATTTGTAGAAATTCAGTACACATATAGCTGAACTCCTTTGAGAAGTTGCTTTGTTCTTGTCATAGTGCTTGAAGTTAATGGACAACTGAAATAGAATGGCTGTATGTGTCATACATTGAGTGAAGAGGACTGACTTAAAGCCATTAGTGTCCAGAAAAGAAAGACAAAGGCAGAAATTATATTGCTTCCAGATGAATCCTAACTGTTCCCCAGATTCCGTGTTAGCATGACAGGCTATAGGAAGGCCTTTAATCGGAAGGTCAGATAGCGCAATTTTAGTCAGATTTTCTTGATTGAAAAAGCACTAGGAAACTCTCTAGAATGTTACAGAATCTACAAAATACTTTTTAAAAACTGTTTTAATGGCTTGATGGCCTAAGTGACAATTCTACCTGTCACACTAAAAGGGAAAGTTAGCTTTCAACACTGTGTATGGTAGAAGTGCTAGAAGAGCCGACTTATGCTGGAGTTTGACGAAAGTAGTCAATTATTTTTTTGTTTCTTCAGAATTCTTTAATGCAGTTAAAGCATAAACCTTAAAACTCCCTTCCATTACTACTGTTCTTGAATTGATTTAATGTCAGCCCTCAATAGCTTCTTTGCTCCTGAAGAAGTATTTTGGCAATAGACCTTTATCAGCATTTTCTCTTTAAGAGTTTAAAAAAAAATAATTTGATAGTTAGCTTCCCCACATTCTAATATAGATTTTTAATAAGCCTCATCAATCATACTTACTATAATATAATTAAGGTGCATTTCAAAACAGTCCACTCTTGACATCAAATACTAAATTTGAAACAGGTACTTGAATATATGCAACATGGAGAGCTCCACTGTAGATCATTTGTGTGTTCCTGTGAAAAACATGTCTCAAACCCTTCTCTTTGATTAGCAAATGTGTCAGCTAGAGCTTTTAGTACTGAAATCTGTACACAACCTCTTGTTTTCTGACTGTTGATTCCTCCCACTTCTCAGTCATTATAACAGCCTCTGTATTTACTGGGCATCTGTATAAAGCTGGTTTGGCAGGAGGCATGGCTGTCTACTTCAATTTGCCAGTCTTGAAATTCTGAAGTTAGACTAGAGCTGAAATGATGATGAAGAGAGAAAGAAAATCTTAAAATCCTCTTTTTGCTAACCAATAAAAGTTTCTCAGCCAAAAAACCTCTCATATTTATGGCCTCAGGATTAACATAAGGCAGTGTTTCCCCTTAGGTCTTTTGTCACCTTTGTTCTCCTGTCACTGCTTTTCATTCTTTACTCTCCTCCTGTCAGTAAACCCACATGAACAATAACAGAAACATCATTCTTTTAGTAAAATAAGTACTGAAATGCCTCATTGCTTGAGCTGACTTATTTGCTGCTTGAAGCTTCAATGAATGTCCACAAGTTGCAGTAAATCTGTTTCTCTGTAATGGAGCAAACCCCAGATACTGCATAGCAAGAATCATTGAGCTAGAGTCACTACAGCTCTAATTCTTGTATCCTTGGGCTCTCACTACATGTTGGATACCACTTGCAGTTTTGGATGAGAAATTTGACAGGCTACAATAATAAGTGGTCTAGTTAGTACTGGCTGCAGAATAACTACTTGTACCAAACAAATGGTGTTTTGCTGTAAGAGGGGGAAATGCTACTGTTTTAGATGAAAACCTTTCATTTTCCCATTTTGGTTGCAGACATTTTTCTGTACACTACAGAAGCACAGTTCTGAG